CCCTCAACCCTCAACCCTCAACCCTCAACCCTCAACCCTAAACCCTCAACCCTAAACCCTAAACCCTCAACCCTAAACCCTAAACCCTCAACCCTAAACCCTCAACCCTCAACCCTAAACCCTAAACCCTCAACCCTAAACCCTAAACCCTCAACCCTAAACCCTAAACCCTCAACCCTAAACCCTCAACCCTCAACCCTAAACCCTAAACCCTAAACCCTCAACCCTAAACCCTCAACCCTAAACCCTAAACCCTCAAAAACCCTAAACCCTAAACCTCAACCCTAAACCCTCAACCCTAAACCCTAAACCCTAAACCCTAAACCCTAAACCCTAAACCCTAAACCCTAAACCCTAAACCCTAAACCCTAAACCCTAAACCCTAAACCCTAAACCCTAAACCCTAAACCCTAAATCCTAAACCCTAAACCCTAAACCCTAAACCCTAACCCTAAACCCTAAACCCTAAACCCTAAACCCTAAACCTAAACCCGAAACCCTAAACCCTAAACCCTAAACCCTAAACCCTAAACCCTAAACCCTAAACCCGAAAACCCTAAACCCTAAACCCTAAACCCTAAACCCGAACCCTAAACCCGAAACCCTAAACCCTAAACCCGAAACCCTAAACCCCAAACCCTAAACCCGAAACCCCAAACCCTAAACCCAAAACCCTAAACCCGAAACCCTAAACCCCTAAACCCAAAACCCTAAACCCAAAACCCTAAACCCCTAAACCCTAAACCCTAAACCCTAAACCCTAAAACCCTAAACCCTAAACCTAAACCCTAAACCCTCAAACTACTACTTTAATCTAGAAGCAGCATATTTCGCCTAGTGCGCAGCTTATAGGATGGAAATTATTAAGGAATGTACTTCCTATGGATTCTACTTTTATATCTATGGGTGTTGTTGTTGCAAGTAGATGCCCATTATGTATGCAACATTCAGAAATTGTGGAGCATCTGTTTGTACATTGTGGATATGCTCAAGCTGTGTGGAATTATTTTGACTCTTCCATGTGTTTTGGATTGGTAATGGGTGAAGATCCATTAACTAGATTTCGAAGAATGGCAAGGATATTTAGAAGGCATTCTGTTAGTCATGGACTTTTGCAGAGTCTTCCATTAATCATCTTTTGGCAGCTATGGAGTGAAAGATGTCGACGAATGTTTGAAGGGGTTAAGTTACATTCACTTCTTTGATTATTAGAATTAAGCAATTCTTAACCTATCAAAAATATCTCCTTAAGCCAAAGGTTGTTGATTCCTTACAAGGGAAGAAGTTGATGATTTCTCTTAATATCTCTCCATTTATGGTTCAATCAAAGGCATTATGGGTGTCTTGGATTTGTCCACCTGATGGCCTTCTAAAGATGAATGTTGATGGGGCTGCAAAGGGAAACCCAGGGTTATCCGGTGGTGGTGTAGCGGTGCGTAATCAGTGGGAGTAGCTAGTTATGGCAGCTTCAAATTTTTATGGAATGTGCATTAACATGGAGGCAGAGATCAAGGCGTTGATGGATGGTTTAAAGCTCTACAATAAATTTGGTTTGTCTGATTATCAATTGATTATTGAGACAGACTCCATAATCCTGGTGGATATGGCGAAAGCGAGATGTGGTTGTAATTGGAGATTTAAGACATAATTTTATCAGTTGCAGCAACTCTTAAACCCTAAACCCTAAACCCTAAACCCTAAACCCTAAACCCTAAACCCTAAACCCTAAACCCTAAACCCGAAACCCCAAACCCTAAACCCTATACCCTAAACCCTAAACCCTAAACCCTAAACCCTCAACCCTAAACCCTAAACCCTAAAACCCTCAACCCTAAACCCTCAACCCTAAACCCTCAACCCTAAACCCTAAACCCTCAACCCTAAACCCTAAACCCTAAACCCTAAACCCTAAACCCTAAACCCTAAACCCTAAACCCTAAACCCTAAACCCTAAACCCTAAAACCCTAAACCCCTAAAACCCTAAACCCTAAACCCTAAACCCTAAACCCTAAACCCTAAACCCTAAACCCTAAACCCTAAACCCTAAACCCTTACCCTTAACCCTAAACCCTAAACCCTAAACCCTAAACCCTAAACCCTAAACCCTAAACCCTAAACCCTAAACCCTAAAACCCCCTAAACCCTAAAACCCTAAACCCTAAACCCTAAACCCTAAACCCTAAACCCTAAACCCCAAACCCTAAACCCGAAACCCCAAACCCTAACCCGAAACCCTAAACCGAAACCCTAAACCCCTAAACCCAAAACCCTAAACCCAAAACCCTAAACCCCTAAACCCTAAACCCTAAACCCTAAACCTAAAACCCTAAACCCTAAACCTAAACCCTAAACCCTCAAACTACTACTTTAATCTAGAAGCAGCATATTTCGCCTAGTGCGCAGCTTATAGGATGGAAATTATTAAGGAATGTACTTCCTATGGATTCTACTTTTATATCTATGGGTGTTGTTGTTGCAAGTAGATGCCCATTATGTATGCAACATTCAGAAATTGTGGAGCATCTGTTTGTACATTGTGGATATGCTCAAGCTGTGTGGAATTATTTTGACTCTTCCATGTGTTTTGGATTGGTAATGGGTGAAGATCCATTAACTAGATTTCGAAGAATGGCAAGGATATTTAGAAGGCATTCTGTTAGTCATGGACTTTTGCAGAGTCTTCCATTAATCATCTTTTGGCAGCTATGGAGTGAAAGATGTCGACGAATGTTTGAAGGGGTTAAGTTACATTCACTTCTTTGATTATTAGAATTAAGCAATTCTTAACCTATCAAAAATATCTCCTTAAGCCAAAGGTTGCTGATTCCTTACAAGGGAAGAAGTTGATGATTTCTCTTAATATCTCTCCATTTATGGTTCAATCAAAGGCATTATGGGTGTCTTGGATTTGTCCACCTGATGGCCTTCTAAAGATGAATGTTGATGGGGCTGCAAAGGGAAACCCAGGGTTATCCGGTGGTGGTGTAGCGGTGCGTAATCAGTGGGAGTAGCTAGTTATGGCAGCTTCAAATTTTTATGGAATGTGCATTAACATGGAGGCAGAGATCAAGGCGTTGATGGATGGTTTAAAGCTCTACAATAAATTTGGTTTGTCTGATTATCAATTGATTATTGAGACAGACTCCATAATCCTGGTGGATATGGCGAAAGCGAGATGTGGTTGTAATTGGAGATTTAAGACATAATTTTATCAGTTGCAGCAACTCTTAACAGGCTTAAAGTTTGAAATTCAACATGTATATCGTGAAGCAAATGCAGTTGCTGATTATCTAGCAAATCAAGGAGTCCAACAAAGACAATATATGGAGCTAATTTCAGCTGAGAGTCTCCCACTTGAGGGCTGAAGTTTACTGCAGTAGGATCAACGACAACAAAAAGTTCTAAGAAGAAAAGAAGTCAAAGTCAGCTGAGAATTTTACTGATTTTTGGATTTTATAATCTTTATTACATGCAGATTTAATTTTATATTCTTCTCAAAATTAGCCCAAGCAATGTAGTTGTGGAGGAGTTCAAGCTTTCTTTAAAGATGCAACTCAGTCACTATTCACAGTACTGTTCAAGAGTACTATTCATTGATACTATTCACAGGTATTGTTCACGGGTTCTGTTCAGCTGGTTTTTTTATTGCTGCAGTTGGTTTTTTCCTCAATTGTCTTCGGCAATCTTTAGGAATTGCAGCTATATCTTCATCAGTTGGATTCTATTGGCATTACAACCTTCCCAGCTGGATTTTTTCAGCTAGATTTTTAAGTATAATTTTTGCTTTAAGTCCATTATGCTTTATTTGGTCCACAAGGACACTGCAGCAATACAGCCCAGTTCAGACTTTATGATACATACAGACAGCTCAAAGTCCTATGAGATGAATTCTAGTCAGTTTTGACTACTGCTAGGAGATCAGGCAATTTAGAGTCCAACAAAATTGAGGCTTCTGGCGTTGACTTAGCTTGGGGATTTTATCAATAGTCTCTCCGTCTGTTGATAAGACTTCAGGCAGCTCACACTCCAGTGAAGGACAAACTCCTATCCAGAATTTCAAGGCAACCATAGATTTTTCTAGTAACTTAGGATAAGTTTAAATTCTTTTGAGCTTATCCTAATCATTTCAGGCCATTATCTTTAGTTTAGCTTTAAGAATTTATTTCTCTTCTTTAATTTTAAAATGCATTATGATGTAATTGCATGCATTTTTTATTTTATTTTACACATAATGTATTTAGATGCATATCGAGGTAAGGTACATATGTCCCCCTTGCTAGGTGTAATTTATTTCCAAAATCAATAAAATTTCATCGTACCGTCGAGGTTACTCAAAAAAATAAAAATAAATAGGGTTTAGGGTTTTAGGGGTTTAGAGTTTAGGGTTTTAGGGTTTAGGGTTTACGGTTTAGGTTTGAAGGGCACTATTCACGCGGCTGTTTACGTGAATAGCCCAGGTGATATTGGTGTTGGCCTTCTCAGCTGGTTGCTTTCCAACTGGATTTACAGCTAATTTTGTGTTGTTCTTCTTGCACTTTTGGCTCAACGAAGGTCTTTTTGTGGTTTATTGGCAGCTATGCATTTTGTAGAAAAAAAAATAGGGTTTAGGGTTTAAGGATTTAAGGGTTTAGGTTTTAGGGTTTAGGGTTTAGGGTTTTAGGGTTTTAAGGTTTAGGGTTTTAGGGTTTAGGGTTTTAGGGTTTAGTCAGGGGCAATTTTATTTTCTAGAGAGGGTAGATCTTACTTCTCTTTACCTTTTTCTTTGCTTCTTGCGTTTTTCTTCCATCCTTTCGGTTGGTTCTGCTCATTTATTATGGATTCAGACCAGGTTCACAACAAAATTCCACCAAAGCCACCGGATTTTTCATAGATTCCAACCACAACCCCAAAAAATTCGCTGAATATTTTAAACCCAAAGATATCGGTACAGTTTATAAATTTAGGTCAGCATGGTACAAAAACCTCAAAACCGTTGCAAGAAATCGATCAAATCCCTGGTATGCCTTTCATGAGCTCTACCATTCAGCATAGATCAAACATTACAAATAACTTTACATCCCTATTCAAGAAACCCTCATCCATTCCGCTTGCTTTGGCGCCATCTTCCTCTTCACATCCTTCGATGCCTATGGATAACTCTCACTCTTCTTATCCAAACCACTCAGTGCCCTTGGCAAATCCCTCAATGTCCATGACCAATCCTTTGGTGCCCATGGCAAAGACCTCGGTACCCATGACAATTCGTTCGATGCCCAGGTAAACCCGCAGCTTTCCTTGGTACCCATGACGGAATCTCAATCGGTTGAGGAATGCTCTTCCCCAGTCCCTTCAGTTTCTCTACTCAGGCCAACGAAGAGGGTGGTGAACAACAATGGCGAACCCGGGATTTATTGGTCCCTTGATGAAACTCAGGCCCTAGCTATGAAGTTCCACCAGACGTTAATAGGCAAATGCACCTATGGGAAGCCATCTATTGGGGTTATTAGGGAATTCATAGCCACAAGATGGCTTCCAAAGGGTAACTTCACAGTGGGGGTTTTGGACCCCAGTCATGTTCTCATCAGTTTCGATCTCTTCGCAGACTATGTCAAAACGTGGCTGAAGGACGCAACATACATCGAGGGATTTTTGTTTAGGTTCTTCAAGTGGTTCCCGGAGTTTCTGCTGGGGATTAAGCCACTGGTGGTTCCCATTTGGATACCGCTACCAGGTTTGCCTATCCATCTTTTTGATAAAGAAAGCCTTTATGATATAGTGAGCCCTATTGGGAATATTATTGTCATTGATTCGTCTACTCTCTAAGTAACAAGGCCAAGGGTAGCAAGGGTGTGTGTTGAGGTTAACTTGTTGGCGGATAACCCTCTAAGAATTTGGTTAGACTTTGGAGGAACAAGCGGGCACTAGCAGAAAATAATCTATGAGAAATCAGTAAAGTACTGTCCTAGGTGTCTGAAGCAAGGTTATGAAAGGATGGAATGTCGTAAAGGGAAAAGGAAGGAGAAGGAGATAGTGGGAAAGCAGGCGAGTGACCCAAAGGAGGAAGAGAAGTAGAAAGCTGATACTTTCAAGAAGGTTGTTGATCCAAAGGGGAAAGAAAAAGAATGGAAAAAAGTTACAAGGAAAGGAGGTCCCAAATCAAACTTGAAAGCGAACCACCAAATAACCAAAGAAATCTGTAAGTCAAAGGAATTAAGTGAATCTGGAAAGGAAGGAGTTAACAATTTCAATGTGCTACTAGGTGAGCATTCTGGCAAGGATGGGGATATTAAGGAAAGTATTGAAGTAGTGCTTCATAATGATGATCCATCTAATGTTATCAGTAATGTTAGAGTCCCAATAGCCAAGGAGAAGGAGGTTTTGAACCCACCTTTGTCTGTGATAGAGAGGGATCATGGGTTTGGAGTGAGTAACAAATATGTGTCTATTGGAGAGGATGGAAAAACGGGATATGATAATATGAAGGCATGTGATGAAGTCTGCCCTTCTACTCATTTACAGGGGGAGACGCGTGATGTAGTGCTGCTAGAGGATGGAATCCTTGAATGTTTGTTGAACCAACAACACTATTCATCTGCATCTTCTTCCTTCTTGGTGGATCATTCGTATAAGCGGAGAGGAAGACAAAATTTTTCCGTGGATGATGAAAATGGTCTGATTAGAGACAAAGAACCACCTAACAAGGGTTTTAGCTCTGACCAAGAAAGCACAAAGAATTGGGTTGATATGATAGAGGATTCGGCTGATGATGAAGCTCATAGGCTCGCTTTGGTTACTCAAATAGTAGATGAATACTCAGATTCAAGTACTGGGTGCAGTCCCAGAGAGAATGTCGTCCCATCTACTTTATGATGAATATTCTCATGTGGAATGTAAGGGGCGCTGGAAAGGAAAGCTTAAGAAGTAGGATAAAGAAATTAATTGTGATGAATAAGGTATGTTTGTTGGCTGTTATCGAACCCAAGATGTCTTCTTCTAAATTGAGAAATTTTGGTTTAGCTGTGGGAATGAATTCTTTTATGGTGAATACACTGGTAGAGAAAAATATGTGGCTTTTATGGAATGATAATCTGGTGGTTAAGAGTATGATAAATTTTGAGCAGGCTATGACTGTCACTGTATCACACTTAGGTGCTGACCCAGTCTTGATTACTGTGGTGTACGGTTACTGTGACAATTTATTAAGACGTCCTTTATGGAGGCACCTTTAGTACATTTCTTCCTCCTTTGCTATGCCTTGGCTAGTAATGGGGACTTTAATATTGTGATGAGATCAAATGAAAGAATGGGTGGCACTTCTCCATCTGTTTTGGCAATGGATGAATTTAGGGCTTGTATTCAATCGAAGGGTCTTATTGATTGTGGTTACGAAGGCAATAACTTCACTTGGTGTAATGGTCATCATGGAGGATCTAGGATGTGGCAAAGGATTGACCGAATGTTTACTAACACTGAATGGATTACCAAATTTCAGAATTCTCAAGTTCTGCATTTGGCAAGAGGGAGCTTTGACCATTGCCCATTGTTGATCAAGATTGTGGAGAATGATGGCTAGCAAAGGATCTCTAATTTCAAATTTTAGGATATGTGGGCTGAGGACCCTTCATTTTTGCCTTTAGTTGCAGACAATTGGAGTGGATGCTATGCAGGAAACCCAATAGAGAATCTCTTTTATCAAACTGAAAATACTTAAGCTCAAAATCAAAAAGTGGAACAAGGAGGTTTTTGGGAATATTTTTGATAAGATTAGTAAGCAGGAGTTGGCATTGAGAGAGGCAGAAAGATGTGTGAATGATAACTACTTTGACGCCACTGTGACTAACTTAGAAGCCACAAGAAAGAACTTAGAGGACACGCTTAGGTTGGAGGAATTATAATGGAGACAAAAAACTAATGTCAAATGGGCACTACAAGGTGAAAGGAACACAAAATTTTTGCATGCCCTGGCCAAAGGTAAGGCAGTGAGGAACTAGCTGCTAAGGATCAAAGGTGAAGATGGTGAATGGTGTGTCGCTGAGGAGGAGATTTCTCAGCATGTTGTTTCTTTCTTTGCTAAACTGTATAAGTCAAAGTATCATGTACTTGATGAAGAGTTGTTTGGGGTTATTCCTAAGCTTGTTGGACCAGCAGATAATGAGATCTTGACTATGGCTGCTACCTTACCTGAAGTGAAACAAGTTGTTTTTTCTATGTCTGTGGAAAGCGCCCCTTGAGCTGACGGCTTTTCTGGAAAATTCTTTCAAGTAGCATGAGATATTGTTAAAAATGACCTGTTGGAGGCGGTTAATTTTTTCTTGAAGGGGAGAGTGATCCCGAGGTTTGTCAACTCCACTCTCCTTGTTTTGATTCCAAAAGTGATGAAACCTACTTCTTTCATAGAATTTAGGTCTATAAGCCTATGCAACTTTTTGTACAAAATATTCACTAAAGTCCTCTCCAATAGACTTGCTTCCCTTCTTCCTTATTTGATTTCCAATGCACAACATGGTTTTGTCAAAGGTAGAGGGATTGGGGATTGTATTTCATTAGCCCAGTTAATGGTCGGAGAGCTTGATAGAAAAGTTGAGGTTGGCAATGTTATTCTTAAACTGGATATGATGAAGGTGTATGATCGCATTGAGTGAGATTTTTTGGAAAGAACTTTGGTTGGCTTTGGTTTTTCAAGCTTATTTGTTTCTATCATTGGCAACTGTCATAGTAGACAATCTGCAATGAAGATATCTCATTAATTAATTGCTCATCCAGTTCAGTACACAAGGAAAGATCCCAATGGCCATTAGAATAAACATCTTTCAGCATATGAAAACTCTGTGGAAAATCTTGAACACACAAAATCAATGGACCATGACCAGTCCAATTATCACACCAGATGTTAGTTGCAGCTCCATTTCCCACTATCATTTGAGAATGCAATACCACCTGCTCAAACCAATGACATAGATTTCTATAACTCTTGGAATAGGAATGCCTATGATTTCCTAGGACATGATGATTATTAAGATACTTTGCAGAGAATATCCTAGACCAAAGAGTTGAGCCATACATCAAGTTCCAAGATTGTTTCATTCTAAATGCTTTAGCAATATCCTCAAACTTCCTCAATCCAAGACCACCCTCCTCTTTAGGAACTATAATAGTAGCCCATAAACACCAATGTCTCCTAAACCCTAAACCCCAAAACTCTAAAACCCCAAACCCCAAACCCTAAACCCTAAAACCCTTAACTCTCAACCCTAAATCCTCAATCCTCAACCCTAAACCCTAAACCCAAACCCCAAAAACCCTTTCTTTTTTTTTTGGTGAACCTCGACGGTACGAGGGAGTTTTATTGATTCAAAATAAAATCCTAATTCCTAAGCCTTAAAACCCCTAAACCCTAAGCCATAAAACCCCCAAAACCTAAGCCCTAAAACCCCAAAACCTTAATCCCTAAGCCCTAAAACCCAAAACCCTAATCCCTAAATCCAAAAACCCTTTTTTTGGGTGAACCTCAACGATATGAGGGAATTTTATTAATTTAAAATCAAATTACACCTAGCTTAAAACCTAAAACCCTAAATCCTGAACCCTTTTTTTTGGTGAATCTCGACGATGCAAGGGAATTTTATTAATTCAAAATCAAATTACACCTAGCTAGAGGGGGACGTTTATACTTTTCCCCTCAATACTATCTAATTACCTTAACAGAATAAAAGACAATATGCATGCTTATTTCAGATCATACGAAATTAAATAAAAAACTAAGCATACTGCCTATAAATATAATAAAGACTACTAAGAGATCCCTAAGATCCTACTTGAAGAAAATAAGATCCTACTATAAAAATAGTTTTTTTTTGCCTTTTTGTCTCTATTTTTTTACCTTTCTCTCTCCCAAAATCTTTCTTTCTCTCTCTCTCTCTCTACTTCGGCAAAACTAGAAGAAAGGAACGACAACACACACACACACTTTGTCATCTCCGGCAAAAGAATCTTCTCTGGCAAATAAAGATCGTCTTCTCCGAAGGCTGAAAGCTCTCTGGCGACTAGGTTACTTCAAATCTACTTTCAGATTTGGGTTGTTTTATATATAGATTGCTTTAGATCTTATCTCCAACGGCTAGGTTGCTTCAAATCAAATCTCTGATGGCTAAGTTGCTTCAAATTAGATCTGGATCAATTTTTTTACAAATGTGATATATTTAGGTTAGATCCAAGTATTTTGTCACTCTTTTTTCTTCGTAGGATGTTAATCAAGCCAAGTTTGAGCATTTTTTTAAGCTCGTTAATGTGTAAATAGTCTAACAAGTCTGCTCGTTTATGTGTAAATAGTCGAACTATTAGACTCGAATTCAGCTCGATTAACACTCCTAGTTAAAGATTTAGGTGTATTGGATTTTTTTACTTCGTCACTTTTTTTTATTCGTTAGATCCAAGCATTTTTGTCACTTTTTTTTTGTATTTTATCAAGTTTAATATATTTTTTTGGTTCTGTCTATCTCACTATAATGATTTGGGTGTATGTTAGATTTTTTTGTTCTTTTGTCTCTGTCTCGTCTTCTCTGGCGATTGTGCGTGTGTGTTGTGTGAGTATGGGTGTATTTGTTGTGTGAGTTGTATGGGGTGGAGATTGAGATGAGATAATGGAGAGGGAGAGAGATGAGAAAGATAGAGAGATGAGAATGGAGATAAAAATTGGGAGGTACAGATTTTGTAATATAAAATATCAAAACATATTTTCTTAAAACTTTTCTCAAGAATTATTTTTTCATACTATTTTTTAAGATGCAAATTAAACTACAATATAATTTTAAAAATTGTCTTCTCAATGCATTAAAAATATTTTAATTTTGCCCTTTAGCAAGATTTTGTTTCTTATTTCGTTAAAATTATATTGATGCCGATAAAATGAGCAATAAAAATAACGAAATGATTACATTATAATATTTTTAATAGGTTAAGGTATAAAATGAATTCGTCCAAAATTTAAAACGAATACCGAATTTTAATATGCCGCCCAAAATTTTCAACATCCCACTCCTGTCCTACGCTTTACCCTTCACGCCTCTCCACTCTCTTCTCACGCGCGTCCCTCTCGCCTTCTTTTTCTGTTTTTCGCTCTCCCAACCCTCCTCACTCTTCCACATCTCTTCATCCTCAGCAGCAACCGGCGCCGCCTACCGCCAGCCACCGACAGGAAGCGACGCCACTGCAACGGGCACCGCCACACCCAGGTATGTGTCTCCCTCTCTCCCACCTTGCCTTTGCCACTTTTCTTCATCTCCCAATCTCACTCTCTCCTTACCTCTGGGCACTGCGAGCGACGGAAGCACCAACCCTTCCACCTTCCCCGTATCCGTTTTCATTCTTTTCCCTCCCCCCTTCATCTGTTGATGCGGAACTGCTTTGGCAGATTGGAATCCCTAGATGCTTCCGATAGCCCTAGGTTAGGTTTTTTGAAGATTCAAATAGCTCATGTGGTCTCAGTCGCCGTCTTAGGTTTGTAGTGTATTTGTGAAGCTTTCACAGATGTACAAATTCGCAAGTTTAGATATGTAAATTTATGTGAATTTTTGGTCTGTCTTCACACACAAATTGATGCAGGGAGAAGAGGTTAGAGTTCAAAAAATTGAACACCCACATATATAAAAAAAATGTTGAAAATGGAAACCTTACTTCTTTGACATATGACGAATCTTTAACACAATCTCCGTCCCAACAAAATGCCGCCCAAACAACAAATAAGAAAATCACACCTGCATGCTCTCTCATCACTGTTGTTTGCAAGGTATGCCTCTATCCGTCCCTAGTAGTAGTAATGTGTTCGATAGAATTACTCAACCATATCATGAATGGTTGTGGGGTTTTGGTGT